GCCACCTTAGGTGTATGTGGCTGGTGCCCTAGCTGCTTGAGCCACAGGCGCCGAGCCCTCAGGCTGGTCTTGAACTCTTGAGCTCAAGCCATCTTCCTGCCTCAGCCTCCAAGAATGCTAGGATTACAGGCCTGAGCCATTGTACCCAGCCAGCATCAGACTTCTTGATAGCTACATGGAAAGCTAGAAGGCAGTGGAGCTATATTTCTCAAAATTCTCTGAGAAACAGGCTAGGCGTGGTGGCTCATACCTCTAATACTACCACTCTGGGAGGCTGAGGAAGATGGATTGCTTGAGCTAAGGAGTCTGAGACCAGCCTGTGCAAGGAGGAGACCCCATCTGTTCTAAAAATAGAAAACCTAGCCAGGTGGTGTGATGGGCATCTGTAGTCCCAGCTACTTGGAAGGCTGAGGCAAAAGGATCACTTGAGCCCAAGGGTTTGAGGTTGCTGTGAGCTATGACGCCATGGCACTCTACCCAAGGCAACAGAGACTTTGTTTCAAAAAAAAGAAAAGTTCTGTGAGAAACAAATTATACTGGGACAAATTAGTAATCTAATGTGATAGCACAATAAAAACATTGCTGGACATGTAAGGTTTCCAAAGTTTACATCCCTTGCGTAGTCTTAGGAAGTTGCTGGAGGATGTGCTTTAGCAAAATGAAGCAAACCAAGAGAGGAAGACATGGGATCCAACAGAGGAGAAAGGGCAGGTGATCCCCAGGGTGATGTGAAGGGAGCAGGCCGAGAGAATCCCCAATCCCCAGGGAGGGTGTCTCTGAGACAAAGGTAAAGCCATACTTCATGTGATACTATTGGACAGAATCAGAGTTTTTTGTTTCTAAGAAGAGTTTGGTGATGAACCAATGATAAATACATACAAAACCACGCAAATTAAAGGGAAATAAGAAATTAGAAATTCTAAATTTCCTTTCTTTTACAACAAGTACAACTTTTTCTTGCAAATAAAAGGAAATCTAGTCATAACTTATTACATGTCTCATCTTTGGAAAACGTAATCCGAATGGAAATACTCCAACTAAACATATATGACTCTGTGGGGAGGAAAACAAAGGAGGAAAGACACGTATCAGCGTGTTTGTGTTCAGGGTATGTGTAGGTATAAGAAAGCTTCTTTATCCTCACAAAAAAAGAAATATATAATATCTAATACTGATAATTCATGAAATGTTAATTTGTCAATTCTAAAATAACTAGTTTAGGGAGTAGGGATGAGGGAGGAATGAACTGAGAACTGCTGTTTTTTTCCTTGAACTATTTGACTTTTAAAACTATATTTATGGGCTCGGTGCCTATAGCTCAACCAGCTAAGGCGCCAGCCACGTACACCTAAGGTGGCGGGTTCGAATCCCCAGCCCAGACCCGCCAAACAACAATGACGGCTGCAACCAAAAAATAGCCGGG